GAAACAATCCACTCAAACAATCCACAACCACAGAAACTTGATTTGCAAATTTTATCAGGCAAAAACTATTAAAGAATGACGTCATCTTTGTTTATACTTAAACGCTATGTTTCCATTTCTGCTAGCATCTTCTGAATTGTACTGTCACCTGAAAGGAGTAAAACTACAGTTATGGGGAAAATAATGTCATTCCTTTTTCAGTTCTAGGGATTTATGTATCAGGATGTAATTAAAAAAAAGTCTTTACTGGGTTCTACGATTATTTAAATCTAACGTTGAGTGTGAAAAACATACAACAGATTCCACCAGGTCACTTTTTCTTAAATGAAATTTAAATGGAAAAGCAGTGTTTGAAATATTAAGTCTGCCCGTGTTGTTCTTGTAGAATTTAAGCAGGAAAGTAAGAGCTGAACAAACAACTATTCACTCACTCGCATTTAGAGACAGTTTAGTTACCAGTAAACCTAACATGTTTGTGTTTAGTCTGTGGGAAGAAACTGGAGTACAAGGAGAAAACCCATACATACACAGGAGCATGCAAACACCACACAGAAAGGCCAGAATGTGAACCTGCCACCATTTAGCTCAGAGGGAAAAGCTCTAACCACTGCCCCACGAAGCTGCCCCCAAACTGCAAATCACCACAAACACCTCATACCAACTGTCAAATTATGGTGGTAGAAAAGTCACAATTAAGGTTTGTTTTTCAGTCACAGGACCTAAAATCAAAATATTCCAAGAGTCAAATGTGAAACCATCAGTCTGACAGCTGGAACTCGGAACTGGGTCATGAAACAAGCGGATCTTAAACACATCAGCAATCTGCAACAGAATGGCAAAAAAAAAAAACGTTTTGCAACGGTCCAGTCAGAGTCCAGACTTCAACCTGATGAAAATGCTATGGTGGGACCTTAACGTGACTGTGACATCAATGTTTTGTCATAAATTCGAATGCATTTTTGGGAAGAAAACTTTGATAACATATTGCAAAAAAACAATCCAAGCTGCTGTGATCAAAAGTTGTTGCGATATCTGCATGTGAAGTAACAGGAAGTGATGTCAAAGTAGAATGTCTGCATGTGAACAGAGCATTGCTTCAATGGCCGAAAACACAGACTAGAGAAGAATCGGATGTTTCTTTAGATTATTTTGAGTCACTATCAGAGATTTTAAAAAAAAGAGTCAGAGTTCAAATATTGTTTCAAAGACAATGTTGTTCCCTTTCTTAAAGAGTTCCCCTTTGATGTCACTTCCTGTTTCATTTCAGCTGAGCCAAGTTCAAAAGAAAATATGCCAGTTTTGGGACAAAATGGGTAAAATTGTGTGTATAAGGCCAAGTTTAATATAAAGCCTTTTTWGTAGTTAAATGATATGTATGTCACAGGCACTTTAAGGAAACAGTGCGAAAGCAAATATCTGCAAACCTCAATGTACTGAAGCAACGTTGTAAAGAAGAATGGAATAAAATTCCTCCACAACCATAGAAGAGACTGATAAAGTCACACAGGAAACAAATACAGAGAGAGAGCAGTGGCTGCAAAATGTGGTGCTGCTAGCTGCTGAATCATGTGGTGGACGTAGTGTTTAACACAGCTTTTCTTTTCTTTTTAAATAAATAATAAGATTGAGCAAATGTATCAGACTTATACTGTTTCTTCCTCATGGGATATTTTAGCTCACATTATACACGAGAAAACCTGCAGTACTCCACAAGTGACGGCTGCAGGTTTTAGTTGTCCACACTTTTCTCTGTACCTGCAATGAACCACAGTTGGAGCTTTAGTCCCGTCACTCTCTATGTGCTGCCTCACCAGACCTCGGAACTGGATCAGGACTTCRGTGCACTGAGGGACTCCGTGGTCAGGCCAGGCAGTGAAATGGAAATGTTTTACTGTGCGTTCCTCAGAGTTACTTTTCTGTACAGAAAGGGATTCAAGCAGGAAATGAGTTACTAAATGTCCAGGATGCYAACTGTTAATATTGCTCTGTAATCCCTTATTTGCTCATGGATATTTATTTAGGCTACTTATATTTTAGAAATCAGGAGTTGTTACGTACATTTTTTACTCTAAACTCCCCTAGTGTCCAGTTGGACACCTTCCTTTCAGATATTAAAGTGACCAACAGTTCTCCATAAAGGCACGACTGCTTCAGCTCTTCAGGCCAGTAACGTTCACACTTGATCTAGGAGAGAGAAAACCATAAAAACACAATAAAAAAGTCGCAACAATCCTTTTTCTATGTTTTCTCAAGTCATATCCAAGTATTGTGTGTTCATGGTTCAGACAAACATTAACTAAAGAAGCAGATAGTTGACAATTCATTGCTGCATTTTGGATTAACACTCAGGAGCCAGGGCCGGTCCCAAGCTCGGATAAATGGTGAGGGTTCTGTCAGGAGRGTCATTTAGTGTGAAACACTTTTACCAAAAACAGCACTTCCTTTAAAGTCTGTAAATAAAATCATTTGAACTTACCCGTCCTCCTTCAGTGCAGTTGGTCACCATGACAATTCTTTTAATTTTTTGCTCCCAAATCATTCTCCAGAAATCCCTGACTGTGGAGGGCAGTGGACCCTGACAGGCAATATACTCTCTGTTCCTGGTGTAGCCCTAAGAAGAAGTGGACATTGATGTTTTATAAATAACTGCACAGTTCTGGATGGAAATAAAAAAGCTCTTACATCAGCATGTTGCTGGTTTTTAACTCAGTGTGAGCATTTTAAACTAAACTAAACCTCACACAGTCAACACTTATGGATTATCATATTTGCCMTTTCTTTTTTGCCCTTTTTTTCCTAAGAGGTGATGCACAGTTTTATTGACATAATTTACAGTAACTACGTGAATGAAAGTCCAAAAGCAGAGCAGAAGTCAGAAATAATAAGACAAAGTCCAAGCCACACCTATAGGTGTGATGAAATCAGCAGTTAGGCCTACTGTAAAACAAAGTAAAAACATATGCTCAGGATTTATTTTTAAATCAGAGATTTCACAAGATTTTAGTTGGCATGAAGTGCCATCTTTTTAAATACAGAACTAAGAGCTGGCGGGAACCATGAGTTGATGCCAAAAGCAATGAGGAACGTGATCATTTAGACATAAAAAAAAGAGGAAGTCTTTTTTTAAAAAAAGGCATATTTAACACAGTTTGTCACAGTTCCAAGTCTTAACAGCATCCTTTAACATAAGATGTTCTTCACAATATAATTTTTTTGTTGTTGTTTTTGTTGGAAGTGCCTTGAAACCTTCGAAATCTTATCAACTCATTTTGGTTCTGAGACCAGTGAATGCAGTACAGTTAAACTTTTCATTTTTTTAAATGACTATAAGTAGATAATTTGATGACTTATTGTTAGTCATAAAATGAAGCAGATGAAGTAAAACACCTGCTTTATTTGATTCTGGTACAATATTAAATAGTTTTGTGTTTAAATGGAAATGAATTCTGACCATAAAAATAAAAAAATAATTGTCTGATACAGTCTTTGACCTAGGAGCTGTAGAAATCAATTTAATCTGTCATAATGATTCTGCTGGTTTTAATTWAAAAAACTGAAAATGTAAAAAAACATCAAGTTTGAGTATCAAATAAGCACACAACTGAGCTTGTGAATAACTCTSGTCACAATGCTACACTTACTGGTAAGTAACTGGCATTTATGTAGTCTAAGACCTCATTGGGACTTGATGTAGATAGTTTCACCCGACACCAGTCGTCTGAAATGAAAAAGAAAAAAAAGTGAAGCTGCATGTTGCTGCGAGAGTTCAACTTATTTTAAAGCACACATCAGCAGTGAGAGGACAAACTTACAGGGCAGAATGTTGGTGAATCGATTCTTCGCTTTGTTTTCTGGAAGAGTCGCTGCCTTGTGTGTCTGATCTGTGCCAACAGGAGCCAGATCCTATGCGACAGTGGAAGAATGATGCAGCGTGAAATTAAACAATACTAAAAATAAAGGTAAAGTATGAAAAAGTAAAAACATTTAGAAATGGAGAGAAGGAAGAAAAGGAGTACATTTGCACGTGTTTTTTCACCTCATACTCCTGACTGAAACCTCTGTTTTCATCCAAACTCAACTGATGGAAGTGATCTGGAAATTTAGTGATAGAAATAGGCCTGGAAGAAAACAGCAAAAACAGAATGTTTCATTCATTTACAAACCCACRGAAATAACCATCAAAGCACCAAGTGATGCATTAAACCTAGTTTAGAGATGGCAGACGTTATACTCACTTCCCTTTTGTCCCAGCCTTTCTTGATCCAGCAATGAACTTTTTTTTTCTGCTATGGAAAGAAATCAAACAGGTTCACTGTTTAAAAGACTGACAGGTTAAAGTTGTAAAGTATATGTTTATAAATCTGTCACTGAGAGCAGCACCAACCTGATAATATCTGGTCTTTTAAGGAAAAGGAAAACAGCCACACAGACAAGAATAAGAAAAATCAGAATACCCATCACTAAACCTGCAATGACTCCTGCAACAGGAAAATTTTTTTATAAAATCATTTAGGGCATGTAGATTTATTAAAGTACAAAACTAAACATGTTTAGGCCCTTTACTCACCTCTGTCATCAGTTTTGCAGTTGAAAAAAAATGGATAAGAATGTCTGTCCCCAGACACTGAAACTAAAGACACTTTGTATGTTTTGGCAGGTTGAAGCTCGTTTATGACAACGTCCAACTCTCCTCCATGAATTATTTTAAACTGGTTGCTTATGTTAACCATGACATGCGTCCACACACCAGCTGTTTCAATCCATCTTATAAGAGCAGAATAACCAGAATCCAAGTATTCACAGTGACCACTTAACAAAGGAGGAACTGTATGATTTAAACAAAGAAAACTGAGCTTCAGTCACACATTCAGTCCTGATAATAAATAGAACAAAACAACCAATGAAAATACAATGTTAATACAAATGGCACGAAAAGTGYGATTTATTTATACTTCTGACAGTTTGATTTAAATTCAAATATCACGTTCACCTGCTTTTTTAAATATAATTCATAATAAAAACTATTATTTTGTGGGATTGATGTCTTATTGTAGCTAGAATTGGCAGCACAAGAGGTTATCAGTGACACCTCACAGCATGAGTTTGCATGCTCTCCTTGTGCTTGTGGGTTTTCTCTGGGTRCTCYGGTTTCCACCACAGCCCAAAAATATGTACAACAGGTCACCTTCAGGCCCAGGTCACCCTTGCAAAAGAGCTCTGTGATCTTTATGGSATTTGCCTGGTTAAATAATGGTAAAATAAAAATAATCTCAGTGATTAATTGCAACAGTCAYTAAATTGACAGACATCGGTTAGACTATTTGTAAGAATGGTTGAGTGGTAATGTCACTAAGCTGTAAATCTCTTTTGCTTTACAGATTTTATAAAGTAAGACTTGCTGCTTTTGTTGTTTTAGGTGACGAGATTTTAACAAATAATTAAACACATCTTGAATTTGGACAATGTAGCTGAAACCACTAGTGTTTTACTTTATCAAAATGTTGCTTCTTTTGGAGCTAGTTATTTACATTAATGAGCTAACGGCACATTATGACATTTTAAACTGCAACAAGTTTATCTCTTGACAAAAATAGCTTTGTTCTTAACATACAGACTGATATATATATATATATATATATATATATAAATGAAACAATATGTCAGAAAGAGTAGTACTTACTAATTGTCACTTTGGGGTTGTTTACACACTGCTGAAGATTTTCATACATAAGATTTATCTCATAAGTTGCACCAGGATAGAGACCAGTAAATAACACATTTTTGTCTGCAGAACTGTAGTGAATGTTGGCATTATAAGAGGCAGATGCATTTGAGAACAAGCCTTCAACTGTTCCTTGGATTGATTTGTTGGTGACCTTCCATGTTACACTCTCACAGTTTATTTCTAGAATAGAGAGAGGAAATTATTCCAAGACAAGTTTTTATTTTTTACATTTGGTACATAACCCAATAATAATAATGATGGCTTAAATAAACAAAAGACCTGTTTGGCCCTAACAAATTGAGTAATTTTTCAAAAGCAAAGACATCTCAAGAGTTTATTTAAAAAATCTTTAAACATACTTGTTGTGAAGGAACCATTATAAGGAGTGCTTTTGAGTCCAGAGAACGTTGTGATCACACTGAATGTATACAGAGTTCCAGGTAGGAGGTTTGACACGCTGTATGACACAGAATCTCCTCGATCCATCGGTGTAATCGATACACCAGTGCCATTAGCTGTAAGGTTGTACGCCCAATTTTTTGTTGGTTTCTCCCACTTTAAAACTGCATTGTTCAGAGAGCGCTCTGTAACACTGACTGAAGACACATTTGGAGGAACTAAAAGAAAAAACAAAAACACAACTTAGATGAGCATAATTTATCATTATTTAAACAAGTGAAAAATTTTTGGCTTAAAACCTTTTACTGCTACACTTCTAAAATTCTTATTCATCTAATACATTTTTCTTTTGCTTTATGCATAAACTGAAACTTAAATTTAAATAAATTTATACTTAAATAAACCAATTGTCAAGTATCAGTGTATCCAATCAGCCTTTGATTATGTTGTGGATATTATCAAAAGAAAGATATCTCACCAGTAGCTGCAAGAAAATTAGTCTCTTTGCTTCTAACATCGTCAAATAGAGCGAAAACTTTGAATTCATACAAAGTGCCACTTTCCAGATGTGAGACTCTGTGCTGTATGGTTTCGTTCAATGAGGTAATGTTTGTCTCATTATTGTTGAATGAAAAGATATAACTGTGGGTGTTGTTTACTCGGCTCCACTGCAGAAGTATACTGGTCTCATTTTGGTGAACTGCTTCGGAATTTGCAGGGTTGTAGGGAGCTGGAATGGAAAAAAAAAGTAGATGAAACTGTTAATCAGAGAGAGTGTATGTCTGTGTACCTGTTTTTGTGCATATGTGAAACAATTCAGGTGAGTTGTGTTTTTGGCCTATAATATAATCCATTTACCAGTAACTGCAGTGATGTCATTCCCACTGCTTTTAGCATATTCAAACACAGTGAAGAGACTGAAATTGTATCTTTCAGCACTTTTTAGATCTGACACTGTGTATCTTTCATTATCTGCTGATAAAGTTTCATTGATCCCAATTTCAGCTGAGAAAATAATGTAACTGCTGATGCTGTTCACATGTTTCCACTGCAGAGTTATACTGGTCTCATTTTGTTCAACTGGTTTGAAAACTTCAGTGTTCAGAGGAGCTGCAATGAAAAAATGGTAGAAAACATTGTTAATAAGAATTTACACGTGTTCCACAAAAAATAAAACAGTTTAATGCGTGTGTGTACTTATTTTTGTGATTAAGTGAGACACTTCAGGTGAGTTGTGTTTTTGCCCTATTTTATAGAAAATAATCCATTTACCAGTAACTGCAGTGATGTTATTTCCACTGCTTTTAGCGTATTCAAACACAGTGAAGAGACTGAAATTGTATCTTTCAGCACTTTTTAGGTTTGATGCTGTGTATCTTTCATTATCTGCTGATAAAGTTTCGTTGATCGTGTTTTCATCTGAGAAAATAATGTAACTGCTGATGCCGTCCACTTTTTCCCACTGCAGAGTTATACTGGTCTCATTTTGTTCAACTGGTTTGAAAACTTCAGTGTTCAGAGGAGCTGGAATAAAAAAAGGAAGAAGACGCTGTTAGTTAAAATTTACACACGGTCTGTTTCCTAAACAATACAACAGTTTGATGTGTATGAACTTATTTTTGTGATTATGTGAGACACTTCAGACAAGTTATGGTTCATAGAGTTGGTCTATTTTATAGAAAATAATCCATTTACCAGTAACTGCAGTGATGTTATTCCCACTGCTTTTAGCA